TGCTGAGGGTGCACTCGATTCCGTCATCGCTGTCATTGATAAAGATGTTACAGAGCACCGGTCCCAAGACAGATCCCTGGGGGACGCCGCTTGTTACCGGCCTCCACCTGGACATAGAGCCAATACACCTCTGGGTTTGTTGTGTCCCACATGAACATCGCACTGCTCAACTCTCAGCTCTGGAGTAACAACTTTTCAACAGAGTGAAGAAAGAAAAGGAAAGAGGAGGCTGTTCCCAGGTCCAGACCCCACCGTTCTCAGCTGGAAAGCTGGCTCAGCAGTGTATTTGCCACAGGTCTTCAGGGAAAGGTTCTGGTTGTACCTTGCTGGTGGAGTGATTTTGTAGGAAGGCGCGAAGGCAACAGGACTCTTCCAATAGATCCAGGAAACTGCTGGAGATCTGGAGCATTCATTGCTTTGTTTTAGGAACAAAACTAAAAGGGGCTGCGTTGAACAAAGTGTGCTGCCTTGGGAGGGGTAACCCTAACATCCCCTAACATTACAGCAGGAACTGTGCACCACCTCTGCAAACTGTAACTCAGCTTCAAGTGGAAGAGCCCAGGGACGCCAGCAGCACAGAGCTCCATGGGGGGAGGCACAGGGGATGGGCAGCTCACACACTGCTCACCAGCTGCAGAGAGCCCTGAACTCCTTGTACACAGGAGACTCATTGGCACGTCTGGGGAAACCTCTCAGATCATAAGTACAGCACGTCAACAAAGAGGAGGACAATTATTAACAGAAAAAGGTGTGGGGTTGCAACAGAAGATGGCTGAGGAAGGCACAGGAGCTGGTGCTCAGTTTGAGTCACTCTCCCTGCGTATCTCAGAGCTGTGACAAACGACAAGTAAACTCTAACTGTAAGCGAGAAGAGTGCTGTTACATGTGTGCTTTGTGCTGACATATTCCTACCTCCCTCAAAGCAGAAATACAGAAACAGAGACACAGAAGGGAACGGTGTTTTTAAGATGATCTTCTAATTCTCTAAAACTAGTGCCAATGAACAGATAAAGCACCTTTATTCCTCTCAAAGTTTCTTTGTCACGTTGATGCTAATTCATAAAATCACAGAACGGCTTGGGCTGGAAGGGACCTCAAGGATCACCAAGCTCCAACCCCACGGCCGTGCGCAGCGTTGCCACGTCAAGTACCAGATCACGTCAAGTACCAGATCACGTCAAGTACCAGATCACATCAAGTACCAGATCACGTCAAGTACCAGATCACGTCAAGTACCAGATCACGTCAAGTACCAGATCACATTGCCCAGGGCCCATCCAACCTGCCCTTGAACACCTCCAGCGCTGGGGCACCACAGCACCTCTGGGCAGCCCGTGCCAGCTCCTCACCACCCTCTCAGTGAAAACCTACACTGACATCTAGTCTCAATCTCCCTTCCTTTAGTGTAAAACCGTTCCCCTTTGTCCTATCACTGTCTGCCCACGTGAAAAGTTGACTTCTTTCCTTTTAGTCTCCCTTTTAATATTGGAAGGTACAATGGGGTCACCCCAGAACATTCTCCTCTCCAGGTGGAAAACAGCCCCAGCTCTCAGCCTTTCTCCATAGGAGAGGTGCTGCAACCTCTGAGCACCCTCTGGACCCACTCCAGCAGCCCCACATCCCTCTGTGCTGGGCTCAGGTCTGGATGCAGCACTGCAGGTGGGGCCTCACAAGGGCAGAGCAGAGGAGGACAGCCCCTCTGTTGGTGCAGCACAGAGTGCAGTTGGCCTTCCAGACTGCAAGTGCACACTACTGGCACAATCTTCTATTGCAGCGTATTTCACCTTCTTAACAGTTATAAAAAAGGCCTAGAGTTTGTACTTTTCAATTAATTTCACTGAGAATATTTTTCCTCTGTTACGTGAGAGGTTATAAAAAGAAATGGTATCTCTATACAGATCCGTAGCTCAGTAAATGGCATCACTTTGCACATAACAGAATGAATTGTATCCTCAATCTGCAAGGCTGAATACTTGTTCTTCTTGTATATATAGAGAAATAACCCCCAGGAAAACACCAGGAATGCAGCACTAACAAAACCACCAAGATCCAGCAGCTACACAGTACATCAGTAAGTTGCAGGAAAATATAAGCAAAAAAAAAAAAAAAAAAGTCAGCTTTGTTCAGCTCTAGGAATAGTCCTGTGCTGTAACAGCACCCGGACACTGACCACGGCACATCTGCAGCACTCTATCAGGCAGCCTCTTGTACAAAATTACCAGGCACATCACAAGATAAAACCAAATGAAATAAACAAAGAGCAGACCTTTGAAGGAGGATCTTAAATTCCTACCGGCCTCTCTCTTGGAGCAGCCACTTACCCTCCAAACGATGCCACAACAAGGGCTGGAACAGTTTTCTGTTATAAAGCATCAGAATCATTTCTGCAGGTTGAGGAGGAGCCTCCGCACACAGCCCAGAAGTCAGCCCATCTCCTGAGCACTGACCAGCTGGGAGCCATCTGAGGTGTCATGATTAAGTTGTAGTAATTCAAGTTGCCCAACCATGCAGAAATTCTCAGTCCTCACAAGTGAAGTCGGTGCCTGTACTGCACTGAAGCACTGTTCAAGACGTTACCTGTGATGTGGATGGACTCATACAGTGACTGGTGTCACGATACCCACCTGCAGCCAAGCAGCTGCCCCACATAGGAACACCTTGATGAACAAAGTCTGATAACTCCCACAGCTCAGCTCCTGTCAGCATGAGCTCCGTGAATCCCGTGATTCTGCACATCAGGAGCTGACCATGAAATCATACCACCAAGCAAGGCTGTCAAGGAGACAACCTGCCTCGGCTGGCCACCTTTGGCTGGCAGAAGGAACACACCACAGAACTGATTTCAGTCTGTTCTGTGCCATTGGGACCAGCGAACTCCTGCTCCTAAGGCAATTAATACTTTGTTGGATCAGGTAACAGAGCCTGGCAAGGAGAATTAAGTGTCACATCTCACAGACAACAGCTCATCCCCAACCCATGTTCTCCTTCTCCCATAGGCATCTCAGCAGTGTATGGGAGAGATCCCTTTCCTTAAAGAAAAGTGAAAGGCCCATGGCTTCCCTTTCCTGCCTGAGACAAAGGGAGTGCAACTCATATCTCATTAGTGTTGGGAACCAAAGACAGGCAGCTCCAAGCAGAGCTGTGTGCTCTGCACAGCCCACAGTCAGGTCCGGTCTGGGGCAGCCTTCCACATTCCGGGGAGCTGTGTGCCTTCTCCTTTTATGTGACGTAGCTGTCAAATCCCAAAGCTGGATATTCAAGCACAAAATGACTCACAGACTTTGTGTGTGCAGTCAGCTCCCATTAACATTGCAGAAACTCCTGAAAAAAGTGATGGATATGCCAGGAAAGGGAGCAGGGAAAGGAAAGGAGTTGGGAAGGGAAAGGAAAGCAGACAGGAAAGAGAAAGGAGCTGGAAAAGAGCAAAAAGAAAAAGAGCGGAAAGAAAAGGAGCTGGGAAAAAGAAAGAAGCAAGGAAAGGGAGATGGGAAAGGAAAGGAGTGGAGCTGGGAAGGCGAACCTTCCTTAATACCTCAAAGCACACGAAGTGCAAGCACCCTGCCAGCCGCACCGCTGGGAGCTGGCAGAGCAGGCAAGGCAGAAAGGCAGCTGCAGACAGGTGTGCGCGCACGCACACACACACACACACACACGCACACACACACACACACGCACACACCTGCTGTCCCCGTGCCCGCCCTTCGCTCCCGCCCCCTCCGAGCCCTTCATAAAGCGGCTCTGCACACGCAGCCCAGCACAGCCCGGCACGATGGAGACGGGCGGCTGCCGCATGGGCGGCGCGGAGCCGAGCGGCCCGGCGGCCATCACGCTGGAGGACCTGGACGGCGTGGCGGAGGAGAGCCCCGACTCGGCGTACCACAGCCACGGCAGCAGCCTGGAGGAGGAGGGGGCCGAGCGCATGGACGACGAGGAGCAGGAGCGGCTGCTCAACTACTGGCAGAGCGTGGGCAGGGGGCACCAGGTGGACGTGCCGCGCGGTAAGCCGCCGGCCGCGGGGCGGGGGGACGCGGGGATGCGGGCGGGTCTGCCGTCGTTCGGCCTCCGAGCTGCGGGGCATCGACCCGTTTCCGCTGATCGGAGCTGATGGGGGCTGACAGCCTTCGTTCAAAGTGAAATCGGCTGCCTCCGAACTACAGAGTAGAAGCGTTCGGTTGGAAGGGCCAACGCGAGTGATTCTGTGATGCTTTAGGAACGCCGCCTCGGCGGGGCGAGCCAAGAGGCAGGTCGGCTGGTCTTAAATGTAAGCAATCTTTCAGTTCCAGCCTTAAGTAAACGAAAGGCTTAAATCTGCTTTTTGACAGCGGGCCTGCCAGGTTCGCCCCAATGAGTAGTTCTGTATTTTCCACGTTGAGAACAGAAAAATCGGAGAAGCTGTAGCAAACAGCACGGCTCAGCGAGCACAGCTGCCTTTTGCGTGTAATGCTGAGCCGGGATCCTCGGCGCTGTGCCGGGCTCCTAAGCAGCCCTCAAAGCGGGGGGAGGCAGCAAGCCCCAAAGAGACTGCCTGCAGTACTGCTGAAACGGCCCACCGGTATTGGCAGACTCCTTCACACCAGCACAAAGGGCACAAGCTCATTTTCTCCCTTCCTTTTCAAGTCATTCCCAGAAATTCCACGTTACTTTTCTGATGCCTTAAGAGGGAGACCTGATGGCTCCTCAGGTACCAGAACACCTCGAGTCTGGCTGAGAGCTGTGAATGCACAGCACCAGCAGGGCAGCGCTGGGCTCCAGTGCTCACTGGGGGGTTCTTAGGACATCAAGCTCAGAGAATCATCAAATGGTTTGGGTTGGAAGGGAGCCTTAAGACCAGCTCATTCCAGCCCCTGCTGCAGGCAGGGACACCTCCCGCAGCCCAGGCTGCTCACAGCCCCATCCAGCCTGGCCTTCAATGCTTCCAAGGAGGGGCGTCACAGCATCACTGTGCGACCTGTTCCAGTGTCACATCACCCTCACAGTAATTAATTCCTTCCTGACATCTGGTCTAAATCCGCCCTCTTCCAGTTCAAAGCCATTTCCCCTCATCCTGTTGCTACCTGCCCTTATAAAAAGTCCAAAGTAGTGTATCAAAGTGGTATTTTGCCACATTTTGGTTACTACAATAGAAAAGGTTTGCTTCATAATGTGAAGCATGTATTAGAAAAATCAGGAGCAGGCTTCCTTCAAGTCCTGCCTGGGGCTGCCAGAGAGGGTTGCACCTCACCTAGCAGAAAGAGCTTGTCAGATCAGTTTGCAGGCTCCATTCTAAGCACAGGGGAACTGTTATTCCCCAGGGCAGCATGCAGTCAGCTAGAGCACCCCCAGCCTCAGGAATCCCAGAGGAAACATGGATGTGAAGACAAACCCACCGCTCCACCCAAGCAGCTGATGCCACAGTGCACAAAAACACGGGATTTATTTGCTGCCAGTGGTAGCTGTGCAGCCAGGGCACTGCAATCTTAACAGCAGAGTACATGCTTGCTGTAGCCTAGCAGTAAAGTCTGTGAAATAAGAACAAAACTGCTCCTGCGTCCATAGTTCTGGGCTGCTGCACGCTGGGCACCCTGCTGCATGGTGACAGTATGCCTTGCAGAAAGAGATGTTGCTAGTAGCTTTTGTTGGTACCCTGTAAGGGTTATGGAGCAGCATCACCCTCCTACAAACATCAGACATTGTGAGATTTGAACACCACGCTTATAGGACTGACATATCAATTAGTCACTGTTAGCAAGACCACAGTAATCCTGCAGTGTGACTGATCAGCCTGCGCCAAACCTTGCAGCCAAAAGGAAAGTACAGGTGTAGGATGATGCAATACAGCTTTCTTGGCTTGAGAACTCTCTGTTATCTACTCCCAGCAGAAGCAGAAAACATGCTGCAGCAGTTCTTTCACATTTCTCAATTACAACTTCAACACAAGATTAACAAGAGAGCTGCTAAGCATGGAAAACTTCCACTTGCTATAGCGTTAGGCTATCTAAAGATACACAGCATACAAAGCAGCATGTTCTGCATTGAGCACCCTGGCTCCAGATCAAGCTTCAGATATTGACTCGCACAGATACTGATTTTCCATCAGTTCCAGTACACTCCCCATGCTGAGGTTATGACAAATGGGCAGCAGCACATCAGTGTGGGTCTGGTGGCTGCTGGGCATGCAGGGAAGAAACCATGGGGGGAAGGATGGAAGGAAGAGGCTGCTGTCAAGCGTGCATCATCTACAGAAACCCCTTTGTAAAGATCAGCCTCTTTCACAATCTTTCACAATACCTACCCATAAGTCGGGATACAATTATTTCGTAACTGTGATTTACAATTTTAAAATATAATTAAACCAAGCCTTCGCCCCGGTGCACTGCTACAACCTGTTATCATCTCGCCTCGCTTTCTCACACCAGGATTCAGGTTCCCAAGCCTGGGCTGAGAGAGCATTTGTATGTGAAACAACTCCCTTGCTTTGAGCCATGAAAGCCGAGGGCTGTGCAGGGCTGAGTATTTACAGTGCACATCTTGCTGCTGTGCTGGTGGGCACAGATTTGTGGACTGAAGAGTAAAACTGAAGGGACTTCCATTGGTTGTAACTGTTATCCTGTGTGTTAACATGCAGAAAAGAATCTGATCACTGATCACATTTATCAGTGAAAGAATCAGAAATAGAGTTAAGCTTTCCAGGGCCCTAAAATATCTCCTAATTCGCCACTCTACAAATCCAGAGCTGAAGCCTAACGTGCTATTTTTTCCTTCAGCATCCAAGGAGATTAATTTTAAATGTCATTACTTGCATTTTAAATTTATTTCCCAATGACATTTACAAAAACAGGTTTATAATAAGCCAAAGTGAATCTTTCTGCCCCTTATTAATAGGATCTTTCCTGCTCCAAACAGCAGTAGAGCCATGCACTGAGTGCCAGGAGATGCAGGTTTGATTCCCAGCTCAGCTCCAGATTTACTGAGTGACACAGGCCCAGTTAATTCCTCTGCACTTTAACCCTCTCCTCTCTGCAGCTCTGTGCCCCCAGCACCCTGCCTCCCTGCTGAAGGCACTGGGGCACTTGGAACAAGAAAAGGGATCTTCAGTTGAAACTTCCAGTCCTTTGCACACTCGTGTCTGATACCATGGGGACGTATGGCAGAAACTCACAAACACGTTTTCAAATACTGTACAGAAAAAACAAGTTTCTTAACCCCTACCCAAGTGCACAAATGCTTGGAGAAACAAGGGAGCAGCTCCTTTGGCAGAGAGGCTCTGCATTGCCAGCCACAACCCTGCAGCCAGAGCTGCTGAAGCTGCCTGTGAGGGTTGGCCAAAGCCTATTTTCCAACTGCAGCCAGAGGCAAACACAAATACATTCACCCCAGCCATATTTAAACTGCAAAACCACAGGGGAACGGAAGCACGAGGATGTGCTGGTATTTCACATGTGAGGATAGATTACCTGTGTGAGCTTAGCTGGGAATATAATGATTAATACAGCTGCTTTGCTCTATTCCCACCTTGCTGTTTGCTTTACTTTGCTGCAACGTCCACATCACTGCTGGCTTCCACCAACAGCCCTCTGCCCATTCCAGGCCTCTCAGAGCCTGCCTGATGTCCTCAGCATCCAACCACAGACAGCAGGCATGGTGGGGTGGGCTGCTGGGTGGATCTGATGATCTCAGTGGTCTTTTCCAACCTGCATGGTTCTACGATAAAACTATTATGCACCAAAAAGAAATAGCCTCAAATTCACACACGCATACAAAAGTTCTATTCTAGTTCCTTTGTCAAACAGAAGATGCATTTCTTCAGTGGAGCATGCACTGAGGAATTTCAATTTTGCTCATCTCCTATTTCTTTGATTTAACAAGACACTTTTCTTCTCCCTTATCTGTAGTTTTGGTGCTGTTAAAGAAACAAACATTCTTACATTAAGAGTCCATCTCTGCAGTTTCCCAAGGGCAGGGGTTCCCTCATGTACCCAGGACCCTGGGTTTGAACACAGGCACTGTGTTTTTCTTTATGTATGCAGTCAGAATTTTCTGTGCTAACTTCTGTCTGCTGCCTGTTCTCCATCACTGCATCCTGATCACAGCTGTGATGGGAGCAAGGCACTCTCATCCCACCTGGCCCATGGGCTGCTCTCAGCATCCTTTACTCCCACTGTACAGCTTGGTTCTCTTTGCTGATGTACAGAATCACAGAATGGTTTGAGTTGGAAGGGGCCCTTCAAGGCCCTCTGGTCCCACTCCCTGCAATGCACAGGGACACCCACAGCTCCATCAGTGCTCACAGCCCATCCCTGACCTCAGTTGTCTCTGGGCTGGGACACCAGCACCTCTCTGGACACCCTGTGCAGTACCTCAGCATCCAAACCCTCCCAGCTGTGCAGCCTTAACAGCAGGGCTTGCATTACAAATACCTTGTATTTGCAAACCAGAGTAGCTGACACAATTTACTTTTTCACGTGAACGCATCCAGCATTGAAGGATTTGCCAGGATGGCAGCACCATCTGCACAGAGCCAAGAGGGCACTGCCAAACCCCCAGGGGACACAGCTGTAACGTACAGCACACAGACCAAAGCTGCTGACTGCACCTGGTGGTACGAAAGCACTGAGTCTGCCCCCATGCAACTGACAGAAAGCAGCATGAAATGTTCCACTGCTGTCTCTGCAGCTTCACACCTAAATCTGGGAATGCTGTATTTTGTTGCAGATATGGCAGAGCCCATCCAGCAGCTGACCCGGAACAACAGCCCCCAGGAGAGGCAGAGCATCCCATTCACCCTCATCCAGCGCAAAGAAAAGGTACCCAGCCCAACCAGCTCTCTTTGTAACAGACTTGGCAGTACACAAACTGAGATTTTAAAGCTGTGTTCCTTTATGAAGTTAAGTTACCTACTGAGGATTTTTGGCATTGTAAGTGCAAAGCGTTATATTCAGATAACTGCACTTCATTTGTAACCTGTCACCATTTTTTCAAGCATGGGAAAGCTTTCCTATTTTTATTAGCTGGAAATCAGCGGGAATGTCAGAACACAGAGAGGTATCACGGTCCTTGTGATGTTTTAGAATTAATTTAACAAAAAAAACCTCCTGTTTTGAGACTTGAAACAAACCCAGCATTTCCTCCATCTAAAATAATGCACTTGCTTCTTTACAATCGTGGTAATTAAACATCAGCGAAGGGTACTCAGCAGAGGTTGGAATTGGAAACAAAAGTTGGGAGTTCTGTATCACGGGTCATTATCAAAGAGAATATCAATTTGCAAATCCATATCCCCACAGCCACCTCTTATCTAATAAAACCTTCAAAGTGATGCCCAGCAAGTTGGGCAAATGACAAATCAACAAACCTTTCCTAATCATGTATGAAGATTTCTTGTCACATTTACTTTAAACACACCCATATAATTCAAATTTATAAATATCACCACTTGACTGCATTTCATTGAACCCGCTCAGCACTCCCATCACAGCCTGCATTTGACATTAATCTTACACTTTGCATTTACACTGCGATGAAATGCTCAAAGCAATGTCTCAGTACTGCTGTAATAAAGAAATACTCAGCATCACAAGCTCCTGAGATGGCAGTTTCTTTAAAGAAGAGCCACTTGTGAGTCTGCCAAGAGATCCCTGTCCATTGCTGCATCCCTTCCTGGCCGATATGAGGAAGGACTGAAGTTTACATGTTCCTTTCAAGACCATTTCAGTGACAGCAGAAAAAGATGCAGCTCTTCCTGTTCTCAGGTGAGATGCAAACACTGTGCTGGTTTTGAGAGCCTACCTGCTGCATGCCAGCCTGGGCCTCAAAGCACACTGTGTGAGAGCTCTGCAGCTGGCACAGCCAACACCAACCCTTCCAATCATTCCTTGTGTTTGCTATTCTCTGAGGAACAGCATTTCTTTATATTATAGTCAAGCTACTGAATAACGTATGACTTTTTATGACTTCTGTTTGCTTGTGGGTTTTTAAATTAGTGAACTTCACATACAAAACAATGATCCTCCTGTGCTTGCAGCTGGGAGACCTGCTGTATGAAAAGCGTCAGTACGGGAAGGCCAAGTGGGCCTGCATAAAGATGAAGGAGAAGCAGTACGAGCAGAGCATCTGCCTGGGCTTCATGAAGCTCATGAGGTACATCTGCGAGCAGAACTCCTCAGGTAATTGGTACCACAATTCTACACTAGAGTAAAAATAGCACATGTATGCATTGGTTCCTCCCAGTTAGATGGATATTTTTATTTTCCTTTTCCCAAGCAGACCACCCCACAGCAGTTGACATTTTCATGCCATGCAGCCTTTCCAGCACAACATGAACCAGGCAGCTCCTTCAACACGTTATAAGAGAGCAGCTGAATGAGATCACCACCCCAAGGCTGTGTGGCACTGATGCTGGCTGGTTCTGATGCTGCCAGCCAGGCCCAAGGCCTTTGCTGCAGGATGTCATGGTGTAGCTTTCGCAGCAGAAGTGGCATTGCCTGCTCAGAGTTTAATGCTAAAGAGGCAGGATGCGATGCCTGCCCTGCAGTAGCTCATGATACCCAAATTGTGCATGACATGAAAAATGTGTGCAGCTGAAGCATATTTTCCAGAAACATCATCCAGTTTTAACTCAAGAACTTTCAAGGGTGGCAAATGCACCATGCCCTTGATTTTTCACCCTCATTAAAAAGTACTGCAGCCTCCAACGCTTTGTTCTGCCATGTCAAGTCGATCCTTCATTTTCTTTCCAAGAAACTAAAACTATTGCTTTCAAAAGTTTGTGCTTAATCAGGTACTTCCCCCTCTCCCCATCCTGTCAATGCTTAAATTATTTAAAAAATGTTATTCTGGCTCCAGAACAGAACAGTGCTGTTTTCAGTCAGCACAGAGAAGCAAACTCCTCACTCCCAACCATCACTGCTATACTCACCCTCATAGCTACAAACTTCATTTACTACAGCACCACACAAATGAAGCACCGTGTTTGTCCACAGCAAACCCCACAACAACTCACAGTGCAGACCCCTGTCCTGCCTACACTTTGTTCCCAAATGCTCAAAACATGACACAAGAGCAGTATGCAAGGTAAGCACAACCATCTCACAATGGAGGAAAACAGTTAAGTCAAATCATACATGAAGATAGGAGAGCTCACTAATTACTGTGCTTTAGACAGATATGCAAATGTATTTGCAAATTGAGGTTCTATGCATATACATACGCACACAGATATATACACACAAATTACAAGGTTTAATTCAATGCCTCTTCCAATCTGGAATACAGAAACCCACTTTCTGAAATATCACACTGAATTCCTTTGGATAATGGAAAGCTTTCTTCTCAGCAGTACTCCCTTTCTATTGCTCACTATGAGCTCAGAAGCCAGGTACAGCACACAGACATCCTTTTGCACTTTCTAAAAGCCATCTGTGTCTCCTCAGGGCTGTACCTGGGGATAACCATCCCCATTGTGACCATCGTCCACACCAACGAGTCTCAGTCGGAGATGAGGCAGGCGGTGACGGTGGCATACTACCTGCCCGAGGTGCTGCAGGATCAGCCACCTCATCCTTTTGACTCCGACATCATCATTGAAGAATGGCCTTCTACTATTGTTTATAGTAGGTAAGAAACGTTTTTGTTTTCCAAACCAAATTCTTAAAGCTAACGAACTTAAAGTGTGACTTTCAGTAACTTTTGCTGTATGAAACGAGGGCACTCAGCAAATAACAGCTACCAGCTTACCTGGGAGAGTGATGCATATAAATATAAGGTGTAACTGCTTCTCAAAACAGAACATTCTGTGTAGCTGGGACAAACCATCCAGGATATCACTGAATATACTGAGTTAAGAAAAACTGTTACCTGTCTGAGGTCAACCACAGTCAGTGTCACTTGTGAATCACGACCAAATAGCTTAGAAGAGAAAGTGACACTTCCAGGCTCTGGAAAAGATGCAGATGTTAAAAAAGAACCTGATGTGAAGTTGCTTGTTCCAGGAGCTTCAGAGGAATCACCAACGAAGACTCAATCATGAGAGAAATAAACCTGCTGGCGGAAATCCTGGAGAGCCCCGAGCTGTGCCTGCAGGACACGTTCATCATCGCCGGGTACACAAACCCCGCTGCTGCCAACAGACACAACGAGATCTGGTTCCTGCAGAGGCCATAGCCTCCTGCTCCTGGTGCTCAGCCCCCCCCAGAACCAGTCCTGACCTGCTGGCACAACCCCACCACAGACGGGGCAGGACTGGCTGTGAGACCCCAGGAGCCGCAGAGCGGTGGCTGTGAGCGCAGCACGACAATCACTGCAGCTCAGTGAGCACAGAGGTAACGCCTGGCACCCACATCATTTCCTATGGCAACTTCTACAGTTTCTAAACAATCATCATGGAGATTTTTAGCACTACAAAGAGGAGTTCACCTTATTTATTTTTTCCTCTATCAGATAAGGGAGACAGAGCCCTCCCCCATCCCATCCCTAGGGCAGATCCCCAGCACCAGCTGCAGCCGCTGCCAGCAGGACACAGCACAACACCAAGCCCACCTCCTGAAACACAAACAGCAGGTCTTCATTTCTAAAGAGACTGGTCAGGTTTAGGCCATGGGACCAGAGCAAGGATCCAGGCTCAGCCAATGCTGACCAGTTCTGCTCCCATCTCTTGTGCAGCAGAGGCTCTCAATGCTTACCTCAAAAAGCATTCAACCAAAGTAACTTTAACCTCATGAAGAGACCAAAAAGGCAGAACAGCACTAATGCTCACTGAAATTTGAGGGGAAAAATTACAGTTCACCTCACTGACACACATAGCAGCCCCACGACCATACTTAGCACTCCTAAATAGAAAGTGCTCACTCTCAATTCTTTTACAAGTGTTTTCTGAGCACTTTTTCCTTTAATCTTTGCAGAACGCTGCAGTGCTGCCACTGAAGCCACCTGTTGGCTGCTCCCCACATCTCCCTGCAGCACCACCAAGGTTCAGGCCCTGCAGAACCACCTCAGCCAGAAATGCCCTCTGGCACAGCAGCCCTGAGCCCCATGCGGTCCCTCAGGGCATCCCTTCCAGCTGGGCTGCCCCCACCTCTCCAGGCCCTGTCCCAGCACCTGACCACCCTCACTGTGACAGTCCCTTCCTGATTTCTGACTTCCCACATCACAGCTGGTTTCCTTCAGCCATCCTTAGGGCAGCTCCTGCACACAGCTGAAAACCCCTACAAAGCCCAGCTGCAGAGCTGTGTGAGGGGGCTGCACCCGCAGTTACAGCACCTGACACTTTAGCATTGGGTTAGCAAATGGCTTTGCTCTCAGAAATCCCTCCTTAATGCCTCCCCTTACCTGATAATAGAATGTAGGACTTAATTAGTATCTTTTTATACAAAAATTAATGAAGCCTGTCACCAATTATTTAGCAATTACCAGAGTGATGCTTCATAGGGAGCTTTGTGTTCTCCAGCTGCAACACACAATGTGAGGCCCAGTGCTGGTGTGTGCAGTGCTAACAGGTTAGGAGGTTTAAGGTGTTCTTCTGGGGCAATGCCACCCCTACAGACCCTGCTGGAAGTGCCAGCATCAACGTGGAAGCTAACAAACTAATGGAAAATAACTTTTCTAAAGCTGACCTGAGTACAGTGCCCAGGGAGGCATGAAATGATAAGCTTTGCTCCTCACACTCCCTTGTTCTCCCACCCCCTCCAACAATACAGCAAATAAAAAAGATTTCCACCTTTGACAAGATTTGTCAAATTAAATTTTGCCAGTGACAAAAGCACCCAAGGAGGCTGTGGATGCCCCATCCCTGCAGGCATTCAAGGCCAGGCTGGATGTGGCTCTGGGCAGCCTGGGCTGCTGGTTGGCGACCTGCACACGGCAGGGGGTTGGAACTGGATGAGCACTGTGCTCCTTTGCAACCCAGGCCATTCTGTGATTCTGGCACATCAAACACAAAGTACCCACTGGAAGCAGTTAATCCTCTCACCAGAAAGCATTGGTTTGTATATATTTTATACTTTAAATGCCTTTTGTTTGCTGTATCATGTCTCTTTCCATAGGCAATCCTCACCGAAACACTTCTGTGGCTCAGCTTCTTGTGGGTATGTCATAGAAACACCTTGTTACCAAACACAGCGCCTGCTGAGTGTGCTGGCAATATCTGCAGTGTTGTTCAATGTAAAACTGTGAAGTGCAGGGTAGTAGTGATGCTGACTTAGGTTAGGCTGCTTCTGCTGCTGAGAAAGAACCAACAAATCCTACTTTTGAAGATACACTTCATGGCTATGGAACACTTCTGTAAATGGCCCTCCGAGGCACAGAGCTGCATTTGCTAATTGCCACCATGAGATCAGCCCCATAGTTACTCCCTGAATGCCAAGGAGGTGTGACAGTGACTCAGATGGATCATCTCCAAGTCCCACACGAGTACACAACCCCTGTTACTGGAACAGGCACTGCATTATCCACCTGCAGCTCTGCTTTGTAAGCTGTTAATTAAAGGACTGTCATTTTTAAATTAGAAGTAATTGATTTCTGCTATCCAAAGGAGATAGTAAAACAGATTTCCCCCTATTTTTGGAAGATTAAATGCTGTAGCCTTAACAGATAAACGCTGTCCCGCATACTGCGTATTTTCCAAAGTGTTAGTGCCTAAAATGTCTATTCCAGCTTTGTGATACTCAGGGCCTTGCTTACTGTGTGTATACAAGTACAAGCATCGGCAAGCTGCGCTGTTTTACGCTGCCCTTTATTTTTACTTCTGTGTTGTCTTGTTTACTGTTACCATTTCTCAAAGTAAAGGTGATGATTTTATTGTGCGCAGAGCATCCTTGAGTTTCATTTTTCTGACACACAAATTTTTGTCCTTGCCAGCACCGCTTTCAGAACTCAGTCTGTCAGGGTCTCTATGCTGCTGCGTTTCCTCTGAATGGAAACAGCAGAGGTCAGAAGATGCAGTTCTGATGCTGCAAGAGACCTGAGGCCTGCATTTGAGACTGTCACGTAAGAGCCAAAAGATCTGAGCAGCACTCAAGAGTCAGTGCACACATTGCTATAGGGACATATCCTTGTGCTGCAGCCTGCAGGGCTGCACACCCATTCCTTCCCAGGGCCAAAGATGCTTTCAGAACCCAACTGCTGAGATGCAGTGCTTCACAAAGAGGGGGCACAGCAGACATCCTACCCTTCTCATTCAAGCAGCTCATATCAACTGTCTTACCCTCTCCAAACACAGGAGAACTGAACGCACAGATGAGCTAAAGCTCTCAAGAACAGCCTCAATCAGAGAAAATGTTTGAGCTGTGCAGAAGGCTGAGCACAACCTGGACAACACAAGAGACTCCAGCACCACCACATTCCACCTAAACTAGAGGCCCTCAGCTCAGGTGTTGTTCTGCAAGGAGAAAATGAATTAAGCTCTCCTCTGCAGTTCCTGCAGGGTAACACTGGTGCAAAGCAAAATAGCAGCTCTTGTAGTTGACAGCACAAAATGAACTGGGGAGCAAAGTATTATATTTATAAGTTATTGCTGTTCTAGGTGGAGATGTTAAAGTAGGAAGGCACATACACAGAAGTAGCTTGGAAAGCTACTTTTAGACTGGAGAAGAGAAGGCTGCAGGGGGACCTCATTGTGGCCTTCCAGTGCTTGAAGGGAGCATATGAACAGGAGGGGAACGGCTGTTTGTGAGGGTGGATGGTGATAGGACAAGGGGGAATGGTTTTAAAGTGAGACAGGGGAGGTTTAGGTTGGATATGAGGAGGAAGTTTTTCATCCAGAGGGTGGTGAGGCACTGGAACAGGTTGCCCAAGGAGGCTGTGGATGCCCCATCCCTGCAGGCATTCAAGGCCAGGCTGGATGTGGCTCTGGGCAGCCTGGGCTGCTGGCTGGCGACCTGCACACAGCAGGGGGTTGGAACTGGATGAGCACTGTGGGCCTTTGCAACCCAGGCCATCCTATGTCCTATGAGGTGTATACTTGGTGACAACCCCATTTAACAGTAAGGAAAGGAAAGGACTCACGTGGATGTAAGCTCTCTGAATCCCACCCAGCTCTTCACCAAGAGGAACGACGATTTTTTCCACTTGCCGCTCGTGAGAATAAGGCTGAATTTCTGGAGAGTCTTCAGTACACAGCTCTATCTGAGCAATGAGTAAGTTGGAAACAACTTGCTGCACAGCCTGTGGGAAAAGCCACCAAACAGAAGAGCACATGTTTCTGTTAATATCCCAACCACGCAGGTCAATACCCCATGAAAGTAACTACTTTTAAACAGCTTTGCGTGTCACATCAAGGAAAACATATTATGCAAAAATTGAAATGTAAAAACTTTCAACTTGAAGATTTTAAATAGTATATTAACAAACACTGCAGCTGCATGAGAGCTGGAGTGACAGAGCCCTCCCTTCAGGGCTGGGTACACCCCAGGGCTGTGGTGGATCACAGACCACAGCACAGATGTGTGGAAGGTTCCCCACAGCCCCACGCAGTAATTAAATGACAGACTTTCCCTGTAAGTGGATTGGGACGTCCATCTGCCTTTGGTGCAAAGCTCAGCCCAACTTTCACACAGCAAACAACGCTGAGGGGAATACAAGAAACATTCTGCACGAGCTGTATGCTTTCTTTGGCTCTGGTAGGTTTGCATCCTCAAAGAACAGAAGATAACATTTCCTCTGAGGAAGGGCAGGAAATAATGAATAGAGTCTACAGCAATAATTCAGAGTCCACGTGAACAAGACAAATGCTGAAGAACCAACAGATTGTGAAGCGATTCAGCTTTGATTTAGAACTCCCCAGGCTTCGATATCCCACATGTGCTGCCAAGCAGAGCCCGTTCAGCTCCAGCTCCCTCACCTTGGTGTCACTGCCCGGCGTTGCACTCAGGGCCAAAACACGGAACTGCTTGGTGTATCTGCTCAGCTCCTTCACAACCTGCAGGCAGGAAGGGTCCACATCAACACCCACACAGGAGATGGGCAGGAGACAGAAGCTGGTGAATGCTTTGGCTCTGTGACACAGCAATGTGTCAAACAGCAAAATGTCTTCAGGAAAGGTTATCTGATTTCAAAGGAACGCCTAAAACCTATCAGCTCCAAGTCTTTGAAAACTAACTTGCTACAGTTCTGAGAAGTCAAAGGGCAGTAGAAGAAGAAAGCTGCAGCAGAGGCAAAGCAGCACACGCTGCTCTCAGTTGCCAAGCTAACATCTGTCCTCCAGCACAGCACGTCAAACAAGCACCAAAGCCACCTCCTTTCCTCTACAGGGAGGCAGCAAACAGCCACGCACTGCTCACGGACACACGGTCAGCTTCCCCAGCTTACAGAGCAGCAGCTTTGCCTTCAGTCACCGATCCGTGGAGGTTAAGATGAGATAACACGACAAATTCTTTGCTAACAAGCAAAATCCTGGATAACCATTTTGAGCTCATTAAGCTGAAGGATCTGCACCACAAAGAAATTGCCACTTTTTTTCCTGACCCCTCTCTGTCTCAGATCTGCTCGAGGACAGCAAAGCAGCACCAAGGAATCACAGAATGGCCAGGGTTGGAAGGGACCTCAAGGATCATGAAGCTCCAACCCCCTGCCACATGCAGGGCCACCAACCTCCACATTTAATGCTAGACCAGGCTGCCCAGGGCCCCATCCAACCTGGCCTTGAGCACTTCCAGGGATGGGGTGGATGTTCCTGGGCAGCCTATCAAGTCTTAATACAAGTTATACTTAAGATCAACGTCCTGATTGAGCAGTGGACAGAGAGCAGACAAACAAAGCAAAGGAACTAAAAGATCTCCCTGTAACTGCAAACTGCTACGGAGGACAGCAGGGATGTTGGTGTGGTCCTTCTGTAACCCAAGCGCAGGGCTGGGGCCCGCAGCGTTACCTGGCAGTAGGCGTGGTTCCCCAGGGCTTTGTGGGCTTCGTCAACAACCAGACATTTAATTTGCACAGCAGGACACGTTCCTCGGCTGAGATCGTTCACCATGATCTGCGGGGTCAGGAAGAAAACCCTCCTGGTGGCCCACAGCTCCCTGCGGCTCAGGGCCTGCGTCCCACCTGGAAAGGAGGAGCTGTTAGGGGTGGAAAAGATGGAATTTCTGATCTGATGAGGTTGGTTGGACTCCTGTGGAGCTCCTCCAGTCCGACCCCACGTTAAGGCAGCTCCCTGAGCAGCTGCGCACAAAGCGTGCAGGTGGCTTCGGGTCAGTGCAGAGGAGACTCCCTCACCTCTCTGGGCTCAGTGCCACCCTCACAGCACAGAGCTCTTCCTCACGGCCGTACGGATCTCCCCGGGCTCCAGTCTGTGCCCGCTGCCCCTCGTCCTGGCGCTGGGCACCACGGAGCGGAGCCCGGCCCCAACCCCATCCTACAGACGCGGCTCAGCGCCGCTCAGATCCCGCGGCCTTCTCTCCTCCACCCGCACAGCCCCGGGGCTCTCAGCCCGTCCCATAGGGAGGTGCCCCGGGTGTCCCCGCCACCTCCGCTCCCTCCTTCTGGCTCTCCCAGCGGTTCCCATCCGCCCGGAGCCGCGGAGCCCCGCGCTGCAGCCGAGCCCCCGGGGCGGAGCGGCTCCGCGCCCCGTCCCCCCGCGGCGCTGCCCTACCCGTCATCTCGGCCATGTCCCGCCCGGGGATGCCCATCAGCTGAGCGCACGCCTCCATCTGCTGAGCCACCAGCGCTTTGGTGGGCGCGAGGAAGAGCACTTTGCCGGACGGGAACCAGCGGTAGAAGTTATACATGACGACGGCGGCCACGAAGGTCTTTCCCAGCCCGGTGGGCAGGCACAGCAGCGTGTTGGCGAGCAGCGCGGCGCGGGCCATGCGCAGCTGGTAGGAGCGCTCCGGCCGGTTGCTCGGGTAGATCCACAGCGCGCCCGCAGCCGAGCAGAAGCCGCCGGCCGCGGTTTCGGGGCCCGGCTTCGGGTTCGGGTTCGGATCCAGCTCCGCGGCCGCGGCCGCCAGCAGTTCGTCGTCATCGTCGTCGTTGTTGTCGTTGTCGTCGTTGTTAACGCCCGCATCCCGCCCGGCCTGCAGCGCGGGGCCCGCGGCCCGCCGCCACGCCTCGAGCAGCGTGCGCTGCCGGCCGCCGCTCATCGCGAGCCCGCGCGGGGCGGGGCGGGCGCTGCGCTGCGGGAGGGGCAGCGGGAGGGGCAGCGGGAGGAGGAGCGGGAGGAGGAGCGGGGCGGCGGGAAGATGGCAGCGGCCGCGGCGCCCGCGCAGCCCTGGAGCGCGGAGGAGCTGCGGAGCGAGGCGCTGCCCAAGAAGGACATCATTAAGTTCCTGCAGGAACACGCGGCGCAGGCGGTACGGCGCGGCGCTGCACGGCGCTCGGCCACAAAACGGCCGCAGCCCGGCCCCGCTCAGCCCGTCTCTGTCCTTGCAGTTCCTGGCCGAGCACCGCCTGCTGGGGCAGGTGAAGAACGTGGCCAAGACGGCCAACAAGGAGCAGCTGATCGCGGCCTACACGCAGCTGTTCCTCACGCAGGTACGGGGGGCGCCGGGTGCGGGGCGGGGCGGAGCGGGGCGGGCCGTGACGGAGCTGCGTCCCCGCGGCGCTCAGCGCTTTAAGGGCACGGACGGAGCCGAGCGGGCGGCGGAGAAGGCGAAGCCCGGGAAGGCGGAGAAAGAGAAGGAGAAGGCGGCCAAGGCCGAGGAGCCCGCGGAGGAGGTCGGTGGGGCCGCGGCCGGGAGCCGCACGCCGTGCCCGCAAACGGGGGGCGGGATGGGAGCGGGGAGGCGGCCGGGGCCGAGCGCCGCTGTCTGAGCCGTTCTGCGATCAGGGGCCGCCGAAGTACGTCAAATCCATCCTGAAGAAGGGCGACAAAACCAACTTCCCGAAGAAAGGAGACACCGTGCACTGCTGGTACACCGGGAAGCTGCAGGACGGAACCGTGTTCGACACCAACGTTCAGACCAGTAAGGCCCCGCGCGCTTTGTGCCGCTGCACGTGGGACGAATGGCGCCGCGCCGGTGGGTGCCGGGCGGCACTGTGGGCTGCGATGTGACGCGGCTGCTTCCTGCCCCTCTGCGGCCCCTGCAGCCGCAGCTGGCGCTGAGTGCAGCTGCTCGGGATGAAGGAGGGGGTCTGAGCGGAGAGCTTTCCGATCTGTGGAACGGGGCAGCGTGGTTGACTTCTCTAATTAGGCACTAATTCTGTGCTTCTGTAAGAAAACCTGCACTGTGGGAGCGCTGGAACAGCAGAGCTCTGAAGCAGTCTCCTCTAGAACACCAGAATCACAGAATGGCCCGGGTTGGAAGGGACCTCCAGGATCACAAAGCTCCAACCCCCCGCCACATGCAGGGCCACCAACCTCCACATCTCATAGCAGCCCAGGGCCCCATCCAGCCTGGCCTTGAACCTCCAGGGATGGACGGGGCATCAGAGCACAGACGTGCTGATAATGCACACTCATGGAACGGTGGGGTTGGAAGGTACTTTTAAAGGTCATTTGGTTCCAACCCCAATCAGAGATTCAGGTGTGTGACGCTGAAGTGCCAGGAGCCCTTCCAGCAGTGCTGCCCAGCACTGTGAGGAGCTCAGACACTGCAGCATTCAAAGCAGAATCGGTTCCCTGCTGGCTCTGCTGTTGTTTCAGTGACACGTTTATGACGTGTGCCATCAAACCTAGAAATTCAGAAATGACTCTCTTCGGTTCAGTGGGTCAGAATGTGGCAGATGCGTGTCAGCATGCAACCTAAACATTTTAATGGTGTTTTTAGTGCACAGCGCCAAATTTTCTCCTAAAAATCTGATAGTCTCCTAGAGGTGATGCAGTGAGAATAGGTATTTATATAAAGCATGATCTCAGCAGTAATTGCAGATAAAGTTCGGTGTGTGATTTTAAAGCACGTGAATGTAAAACTGTCTTTCAGGTTCAAAGAAGAAGAAAGCAGCCAAACCTTTAAGTTTCAAAGTCGGCATAGGAAAAGTTATCAGAGGCGTAAGTACAAATCAGTATCGATTCCCTCAGCACCCAGAGAGTTTTCAGTTATATGACTGCAGTGCAGAGTTGGAACTGGTGTTGTTTCCTGCTGAGGTGAAAAGGGGAAAGCTCTGCCATCAGCAGGACGTGCTGTTTGTCCGTTCTGGGTGCATCCATCCATCTGCAGCATCACTGTGCAGCGCTGCGGGGGAAGCAGAGCCCCTTGCTGTCTGCACAGCACTGCACCACAGGAGATGAGCAGGTTCCCAGGGCTCAGCTGCTGCAGTGCTGTGTGCTCTGAGCGCCCAGAAGGTTGGCTTTTGTCAGCATCTTTTTTTTTTGTTTGCCTCAGTGCTGCTTTGTGTGCTGAGCCTCCAAATTCTGGTTGCTGTCATGTGCAGAGTTGCACTTTTGATGCTGTGAACTGTTCTGCAGATCCACCTGCTTGCTTAAATCTTCAGCTCGCAGGTACCGGTTGGTTGTGTGGGGGAGATGCAGCACAGAGCGGTGCAGCGCTGAGCCTGTGCTGGAATTGGCTGGCTGTGGCAGATAAGGATACAGGAAAGATCTTATGCTTACCTGACTTTGTATCTGTTCGTACGTGTGACCTTCTGTGCAGCTGCTCTGCAGAAAGGCAGCCTTGCTGGGTGGAACTGGGGAGGGGAAGCAGCCTTGGGCAGGTGGCCAGCACTGCAGAAGTTGCCGGGGTTTTCTTCAGTCACTGGGTTTGATGCTCCTGTGTTGTGTGGGTGCCACAGAGGGTCCTTCATTGGTTACAGGCCATGAGGAGCAGCTGGTTGTTGTCATGCTGATATGGGCTCAAATGATTGTCGGCTTGTGCAGGGCAGTCTTGAAGAGGGACGAGGACTGATGTGAAGTTGGTATTTAAGAGCAGCCTTCAATAAGCACTAATCCGTGGTCAGGACAGGGAGGAAATGGAGAGGTGGAGATGGAGCAGAAGACAAAACCTCTCAGTAGTGTACATGCAGTGTTCAGCTCTGAAATGTGTTCTGAGGCCATGAACAGTTCCCTTGAAGCAGGCATGTTCACTTTGGTTCTGCAGCATGTTCGCTACATGGATGCGTGGGGCTGGGCTGTGCTGGATGGCCCAGGCTGGTGCAGATTGGGTTGGTGCCAACAGCAGCTGTGGGTAAATGTTTCCTCAGATGGAAAGAATGAGAAAGTACCTTACAGCATGCACTGGGTGGGTGAAATGCTGGAAGAAATTATGTTTTATCACACAGAGCTTTGTAGAAATGAGGTGAGAAGCAGATAAGCACGTTTTTTTATTGGTGGTACTTTAAGACTTGTGTTTTCTTTTGTTCTGGTCTGTTTTTAGTGGGATGAAGCTCTCTTAACTATGAGTAAAGGAGAGAAGGCTCAGCTGGAAATTGAACCTGAGTGGGCGTATGGCAAGAAAGGGCAGCCAGATGCTAAGTATCCTTTCACAATCAATAACTCACTGCTATTTTAAGTACCTTGGGAATGCAGCTTGGCAGAACGATGTGCTTTGCAGACAGGGACACAGGGGCAAAGTGTTCACTTGCTGCTTAGAGCAGGCTCAGAGCACCGAGGGATATAAATAAGTGTCACAAAGTGATGGATCCAACTGCTCACTTGTTTGGAAGAAAACCTTCTGTCCACATTACTGCATTCCAGCATGCAGCAAAGATATCTCATTGTTTTCTACCTTTTTTTCTCTAGCTCCTTCTGAATGCAGCACAAGCACAGATAACAACCAGTGTAGCTGGGAGGAGTTGCTGCTGCTGCTGCAGTGTTGGAGCTTGTAGAGCAGCAGCTCTGGATACAGCTGAAACCGCAGCTGAATGAGTGGTCCTGGTCCCGGGTTCTTACCAACCCTTCCTTCTGCTTCTTAGGAAGGGATTGCTCTCCTGTTTTAACCTTATGTGCTGGTAGTTGGAAGTGTTGTCTAAGCAAATTTCCTTCTCGCAGCAGTGTATCTTGAAATGAGACAGTTTGCCCACAAGGAGACAACACTCAAGCAATCAAGGTAAAACTCAGCTCTGCAAATGAAGAGGAATTGCAGTAATGAGTGTGTCTCAGTGACAGCTTCTCTGCAGCCCTGCTACTGAATGTCTCATGAGCACTGGCGTTCAGCAGCAGCTGTGGTTCCATACTAAAGCCAGGATGTTAACACAGGCCAGTGAAATGTGAAACAGCCACTGAGGAGCAGAACAGGTGCTAAATCATTCCTCAGCTCCATGAGCAACTAACTGTGTTGTTAAGTTTCCTTAACTTGTGCCAACAGAATTCCACCAAATGCAAAACTTTTCTTTGAAGTGGAATTGGTGGATATTGAGTGAAATGAAGGTTTTTCTTTGCTGCTGGGAATGCATTTGAGAAAGAAAGCTTCTGACAGCTGCAGTTCTGCTCTCGTAACTTCAGGATATAACTACAACTGTGGCCTTGTATTGAAATCAAATTTGCTCCCCCCAACTGCTGTACAGTAACATACCACTAAAGAAAACATTGTTTATACATGCAACTGTTCTTTTGTGTCTGCTTATCTTCCACCTTCTCTCACTCTAGGGGGGAAATGCACAAATCTCCAGTTGCTGTAGAACACTCCCACTCTGAACTGCCATTCATTATCTCTGCCAACTTCATTATCCCTTCAGTACTGACCTGTAGCTGAAATGCATTTATTCTGATACTGAGCTCAAGTCCTCAGCACCACCTCTCTCTCTTGACTTTATCACAGTGCAGCTGCTACAGCACTCACCCAGCAGTGTTGGTTATAGGTGTGTCGTTGCTCCACTTCTAAAAGAGATGGGAAATTTCTCCTTTAAATACATTTCAAACTGTTAGGGGTGATGTCAACCCACCTCAAGTTTGAGGTGTTTCTGTACTATAACTACAGCACTCAATCTTTTTTTGAACAAAACTGGAATTTATTCTCAGTGTGAATGAGGACATCCAAGAAAGCTCCAAGAACTGCTGAATTCCTTGCTTTTATTACGAAAATGAGAATGATCACTTTGATCAAAATGAAAAAAGTTTGCTCACATTGTGTACATGAAAAACTCTAGATACAAAAATCATCCCAAACACAGTTTGTGCTTCTTAAAAAAAGAATGCAACATCATTTTGCACTGCATTTTAATTTTTGACCCTCCCCCCCCCAACGTGGAATAGAAAATACACGTCACAGCTTTCAAAGGCTGC